AAGAATTTAAATTAGGCTCCTGTTAATGTAAAGTCTGATTCTTTGTCAGTTATTGTGTCCGTTTGTAAAAATTTCTGTCTAGATTTTTGGAAGCATTTTAATTATTTGTTAGTAATCTTTTAGCACTCATCTTAATGTTAAAACTACCTTTTATGTGCATTTTTCAGGCTGAACACCAGTGAGTGTTTCACACTTGGTGATGTCACCACAGTGAACATGACTATGGTCAAAGGGGGTGTGGCCTACAACGTCATCCCAGCTGAAATGGATGTCAGCTTTGATCTCAGAATACCTCCTACAGTAAACCTCCAGGTGTGTTCATGCATGCGTTCATTAGAGGTCCTCAGCCCAGAGYTAACACTACTTTAACCTTTAACACCAACAGGAGTTTGAAGAACAGATCAAGCGGTGGTGTAAGGAAGCAGGAGAGGGTGTCASATATCAGTTTGCTCAGGTTAGGATACGTCCATTCAAGGAAAAAAAATATACATTTGATAGTTTTTACCAGAGGAGCTAAATTAGTGCTGATTTGTTACAGAAACACATGAACCAGAACGTCACATCAACAGATGTGAACGATCCCTGGTGGAGYGCCTTCAGTGCTGCCTGCAAGTCTATGTGAGTACACAAATGTGCTGCAAGAAWGTTTTCACATCTTGTTTTGCTTGATACATAGAAWAAAKGAAGGATATACAAGCAAAGCCAGTRTGTTCCACTTACATTTATCAACATTATAGCTGTCAGCATGTATGTGAATTTTCACATTGAGCATTAAAATGATAGTTTAGTTCCTTTGATGTTGGGTTTTGTGAAGTGCCTATATGAGCTGTCAGTATCTTACCTGYAACAGATRTCAGTTTCAGGTCTGAGAGGCTCAAAACCACAGTTTGCTTAAACTTGTTTGAAAGTTTTGAGGTTAGAGTTCTTTTATATGGTGGGAATATACTCTTTACYACTTTTTATAGGCTCTACATTTAATAGTTAATAACGATAATAATAACCAAATACATTAAATGCATTTATAAGGTTGCCCAAAGGTAAAACAGCTCWAATAGACTACATTAGAATTAAAATACAGACTAAAAGTGAAAACAAAATGACATAACTCAGGCTGTTTTTAATTCTAAGCATTAAAACTGAGCGTTGAAGCAGTTTTTGAAACTCAAATGTTGCTGTCCTCATGTGAAAAGGCAAAGTACGATCACTTGAAATCACTAAAGTTGATGTTTACTGCAGTTAAGAAACTGACTGCTTTGTTTCCTCAACACAACCCCACCAAAACAAAAACAAAACATTCAGTCTATTTATACATTTATAATACCAAGCTTGGTTAATCAAACTTCTCAACTATGATCATGTTGTATAAGAAAAGTGTTTATTTCAACCACAATGTTGTAGTTTTTTCACACATCGGCTGCAGTTCCCACAGAACTCATCTCTTTATATCTGAAATAATCTTTTGATAAGGATTTGAGTGAAAAGACCTTCTACAAATCTCTGTAAGATAAATTCAAGCACTTCAAGCTGTTTTCCATGTCTACTGTGCCAGCCAAGTCTCATATCACCRTCTGTACTGTAGGAGCATGACTTTGGTAAAGGAGATATTTCCTGCTGCCACCGACAGTCGTTTCATCCGAGCGGTGAGTATTTGAATAGGGTATTCTGACGATTTTTATGACCTTTGAAACTACAGAAGGAGAGGATTTCTCTGAGTTCTCGTTTTTCCCTCCGGCTCCAGCTGGGTATCCCTGCCATCGGCTTCTCCCCGATGAACCGAACTCCGATTCTGCTGCACGATCATAACGAGTATCTGAATGAACAAGTCTTCCTGAAAGGCATCAGCGTGTACGAGAGGCTCATCCCAGCTTTAACCAACGTTCCTGCCTTACCTGGAGAGGCTTAGATGAGCTTAATCCTCACGGATTTATGTTTTGCTCAAGATAGGAATATTTAATTTGAGGAGTTTGCTGAGATTACCAAAGAATAACATGTATGTTTGAAGCCAGAGTGAGCACTTTACCCTTTGGTGCTGGTCATTTTTAACAATTCTCAGGTTTTAGGCACATCTCAGTCAGTTTTACATCATATTGTAGCAAGTTTTAACAATTTATTATCTGTAAAAGAAAAAAAAACATGATAGTTCATGCTTATTTCATCTCAAACGAATATCATTCAATATGTAAATCTCAACTTATAGTTGGATATAAATACCAATCACCTCTTATGATAAATATCACAAGTTTGATGAATTTTAGATGCATATTTCACATTTAGAAGCTTATTTAATAAAATGTAAAATAAATTATTATATTTATTCCTGAGCTTGACTGTTTGTACAAGTTCCAGATCTGTGTTTAATGTCACATTGTTATGAAATTTGTCATGTGAGGTCATTTAGAACCCAACCCAGAGCAATTCTTTAAGCCAAAACTCTTCACTGCGTGTTGAACCATGTGGAGCTCTAAAGGTAAAGACCACAAAGGAATGCAATATTGAAAGACAAACAGGGAATATCAATATTTAAAGGTTTTTGATATAATAAATCTCATGAAAATAATACCCTGCCTACAGTAAAACACAGCAAAAATTATATAAGGGTGTGAAGAGTCCCAGAGTCAATAAATTAATAATGGTAATAATGAAATTTTTGGAATTTTCAAGAGATTTTTTTAGAGCAAAATCTGATTACTTTCTAATAGATTCATCATAATTAGTCCACTGATTCATGAGCTGTTTTGTTGATACGTTATCGTTCTTTTGCCTTTGGCAGGCAATAAAGAAAACCTAACTTTTAAAGAGAGGAAGAAGTTGCCAGTTTAAAATTTTCAGAATTTGTGCTGAATCTGAAACAGTTTCGCACCAATTTACACCTTTACGCCTGTGACCAGAACACCTCTTATGTGTGGACCGAGCTAACGAAGACCCATATGACATGACAAATGGATAAGAAAAAAAAACATGTGTATTAAATTTTACAAAAGTCCAGTTGCCTTTTAAAGACTCTGCATTTTATTTTATTTTTTACATTACCTTCGATTAGGGTGTAATTTATAATTTTCTCAAGAAGTGGTCATATAGAAAGTCTTAACCTTTTACCTTGATCTGGGTTCCACACAGACACAAAGGTTGCAGTTGTATGGATGTGAGCAGAATACTGAAAAGGAGAACAAAGCACTGCGTGAACGATGAGCTCCCGAGACAAACCATTGTTTTAGTCACGTTAAAACTGAGCAGCACTTTCCAATAATGTTGTGAAATGTTGTCATACGAGGAACGAGCTGTAAAAAATTAATCTGATTTGTAACGGTTACATAAGGTTAAGGTCAGTCTCATCTCCAGCCTCTTTGGAGTTGTCCAATTAACAGTGTGCGTCTCTCTGAGGSGGGACTGACAGGAAGTCTGTGCACTCAGTAATTAGTCTTCTCTCTCCCCGGGACATGACAGCAGCATTAACACATGAGGCCATCGGGGAGACGGATAAAAGCTGCAGCCACATCCTTCCTCCCAGGGGGAGAGCAGGTGCAGTCCTCCCGTCGGCTGTCGAGCATGTGAACGCCTGGCTGAGCCTGACATCGTGGCTGTTAAACAGTTTGCTCTTTCTCTGATTATTTTACACGCATTTTTAATAACCGCAGCTCAGCAGAAAGAGCTGCAGTGTGAATAATCGTGCGAGTGCCTTTAAAGCATTTAAACTATCTTTTTTTTTCTTCAGTATGTTTTTCTGCACATATCTCTTTGTACAACTCGTATGTCAAAACATTCAGCTCCTTCAGGAAATTCCAGCTATCAATTTTGATACTTTTAGAAATTTATACTTTTTAAAATATGTAGCTTTTTGCCATTGAAACTAATTGGAGCTGTCTTCAAAATATTTTAGTCTTTATTGTACTTTTTATCTTTTGTTCTGGTTCTGCTTTTTTAACTACTTTGTGCTAATTTCAGCTTCCTTTGGCTTCTATTTAGCTGATTTTAGTTTATTTTTTCAGCCTTTTAGCTGTCATTCTGACTTGCTATTTTGCTAATTTCAACATGTATGCTTGTTTTAGCTTCTTTTTGCAATTTTAATCTGTTTCTGCAAATTTCAGCTTTTTTCTGTGTTTTACAGCTACTTTTGATCTAATTTGAGCCTTTTTTCAGATAAATTCACCTTTTTTGGGATTATTTCAGTGAATTACTATTCGGTAAATGTGCTTATTCTGTTTCTTTCTGCTAAAGGCCCTGTCGCACCTTTATGCCAGCTTATGAACATTTTAAAGACAGCTGATTGATGATGGAAGTGAAAAATCAACAGGAAGCATCTTTTTGGCATAAAACAAATTGATATCTAACTTTTATTAGCAATTTAGACATAAAACATGCTTCATAAGTTATCTATTGTGACAGGGCCTTAATGTCAGCTATTTCAGCTACTTTTTAAAGTTATTTTAGGCTAGTTTAGCCTTTTTTAGCTATTCAGCACAAATCTTTCAGCATTAGGCATTCACACTGCATTTTTGCAGGGAATGTAAATTCTCTACTGTAAGTACTTTAATATAGCTGTGAGTCAAATCAGTATTGTTTCTGTGGAAATAAGAATTGCTCAACAGTTGAATGGTCCTGAAAAAAGTGAATCTGGTAGCTTACTGTTGCTGTCTTTTTAACCTCATCACTTAGATGGCTTTCTCCAACATATTGCAAGTTGCAAGGCCCTGACTTATGCCTTTAAAGCATGTGAGCATGAAAAAATCTCATCATGTAAAAATATAAATATTTATCTGAAACAGATCCTCAGATGCAGCATCTCTATGCTCAGTTTATTGCTTCGGGGGAGAGCTGTTAACAGTCACAGATGCTGCAGTGAATACGGGAACATACAGAAATGAAAGCTTACAACTGATTGGCATCTCAGTCTGCCGCCGTTGTGCTGCAGCGCAACAAGAACTGTCCTCTGCTGGTAATTGTAACTAAAGCCCTCCTGTGAGGGACACCAGATTCTGCCTGAGATGGGGATTAATTGTAGCCTGTCGGAGCTTAAGCTGGGGTCAGAATATTTTTATTGTGTTTGTGTGTTTGCAGTGTTCTTTTTCAGAATGAGACACAGACTGAACGCTTTTTATTTTGACCCTGAAGTGATTTTCTACAAGGTTGAAAAAACGAGAGTTTATTTTTTAAGAAGGAATTCCGATTTTAAAAATAAATAAAACATATAGTTAGCACAAAAAGTAAGGAAATTTATGTTTGGTAAATTATTTCTTTGTTGTAACAATGCTTCTTGGCATTTAATGTTGGAAAGCCTGTTAATTTCCCTTTTTAAATGCTGCCACATTTGTAAGGATCGTGCATTTGTGGGATGAGCCGTAGAGCTGAGTATGTGGACTGTGTACATGAAAACGTTTCCCAAATGTTTTCTGCCAAAAATGCTTATTTTGCTGTTGATACTGACACTTATTTTGAGCTTCTGCAGGTGCTGCCAATCAGGTGCCCACCAGATATAAGATTTATTGCTAAGAAGCATTACAACAAAGAAAAAAATCCACCAAACACAAATGTTTTTACTTTTTGTGTTAAGTATAGATTATGAAACACATTTTCCATATTGTGGATTTATTCTTCTTTATTTAAAAAAAAAACTTTTTGAATATAGAGCATGTCTAAAAGGCTTGGTCAACCTGTTTATATTGCAACATTTTCTGGTTTACTGTTGTCAGCCACAATCAGGCCTAAACAAATTTCAGCTGTCAAAAGTGCAATAGTAAGTATAAATTTTTAATGTAAAAAAAAAAGTTCAGACTTTTTTTTAATTTATTTTTTGTCAATGTCAAGAGAATGAATAACTYACTAAATTGAAAATGGTAGGGTAGAATAAATTAGGAAACTAAAGCAGGAAACATCCTATTAATATTTAGGTTTTTGTTTGGACCACTTTATATTTTGATGTTTTTGGAGTTGCAGTATTTGTTGTTTAGAGTGAAATGCTTAAGCTTCATAAAGTTTTTATTTCACATTTTTATTTTATATTTTTGGCTTATGGTGAAAAAGCAGAGGTGGCAGTGGTTGCATCTGAAGAAGAAATCCATCCGAAACACACAGGTGAAGTTCAAATATTCAGACCAAATGAGAAAGACCAGGCAGGTACGTGTTGGGAGAGCTCTGTGTTTGTAGCAGAGGATGATTGAAGATAACAGATCAGAAACAACTTCTTAAAAGTAGGGCTGTGGGAGAAAAGAAGAAAATGGAAAGTTTAAACTATAAAACCTTAGAACATCCATGACAACAGAAAGAATGGCTATATRCAGAGTTTTCTTTATTTTCATGACTATGTAAATTGTAGATTCACACTGAAGGCATGAATTAACATGTGGAATTACAGTATATACTAACAAAAAACTGTGAACAACTGAAAATATGTCTTATATTTAAGTTCTTCAAAGTAGCCATCTTTTGCTTTGATTACTGCTTCACACACTCTTGGTATTCTCTTGATGAGCTTCAGGAGGTAGTCACCTGAAATGGTTTTCCATCAGTCTTGAAGGAGTTCCCAGAGATGCTTAGCACTTGTTGGCTCTTTTGTCTCCACTCTGTGGTCCATCTCACCCCAACCCATCTGGATTGGGTTCAGGTCTGGTGACTGTGGAGGCCAGGTCATCTGGTGCAGCCAAAGCACAGATTTCCACTGGTCTAATGTCCATTCCTTGTGTTCTTTAGTCCAAACAAGTCTCTTCTGCTTGTTGTCTGTCCTTATCAGTGGTTTCCTAGCAGCTATTTTACCATGAAGGCCTGATTCACACAGTCTCCTCTGAACAGTTGTTCTAGAGATGTGTCTGCTGCTAGAACTCTGTGTGGCATTGACCTGTTCTCTAATCTGAGCTGCTGTTAACCTGCCATTTCTGAGGCTGGTGACACAGATGAACTTATCGTCCGCAGCAGAGG